CTTCCTGGCATGCACTTTAAGGAGGCTTCTTTTTACCTGCTGTTTTTACTCTAGAGAAGGCACTTGGCCGCAGGTTCTGGAAAAAGAGTGTGTATGGTGTGCAGACCCAGAGCGCCCATGCCTGCCAGGGCCTGCAGCCGAGTGCCTCTTACTCTGTGATGCCAAAATCAGGCCAGGAGCCGGGATCCACTACTGCTTGCTTTTGTGTCGAGCTGATTTTTGTAATGGAAGAGGCCTTCCTGTTCTGTGCTCTCAAAAAATGAAAGAAACGAAGGAAATGGGAGAAACGAATTCCATGGAGAACTCTAGCTCACATACTAGTAAATCTTAACCAGTGATACTACCAAGAAAATTGGGGGGCAGGTATACTTATTAAGCGGTATGTTATGTTTCCATTATGTTAAACATGGAATTGATAGATTGGTGTGATACTTGAAAAATCCACTCAATAACTTAAAATATATTTAAAATATACATTCAAAATAGCTAAATTTGTTACTCATTGCACATAATGAAGTCGTTCTTGCTTTCAAAATTACCTTTGAAATGCAACTGTATCACGCACTTGTTGAATAGACACCAAGAAATTGCAGGTAGAATAGTAATATGTTAATTGTGAACCTTTCTATAGATCCAAATTTAGAAATAATTGGAATCACTAATAAAAAAATAAATCTTACCAACGGGAAACATTGTCTGTCTACTTGCTCCTATCTGAGTCTGAAATGCAGATACTAACAGTTAACTATGAGCGTCAAGGCTCTAATTACGGTGCCTAAACTTTAGGCTGTGAAGTGCTTGAAACAAAATAACTTTTTTATGGAGGGCAATCTTCTCTTTAAAGTTATTTTATATTTAAAGATAGCCATACTACCTGCAACCAGATTTGTATTTTGTGGATGAAGATAATCATGACTGAGGGAAGCAGAGGTTTCTTTTTTTTTATCCAATATAGCAGTTTCTGCAAGACATGATCATGTTTTAATCTGCAGCTGATCTAACCATACTTGTTTCCATAGATGGATCATGATTTCAGACTACCATCATCTCCCCACATGTTGGTTTTAACTTTTGTGGATTGTATTATTCATATATTTGATTTCAAATGTTCTCTCTAAGAATCTCTAGGTTCTCCAGTGTAACTCTATGATCAAACTAGTTTTTTTATATAGAGAGAACACGCCTATCGAGGATTTTATGACCAGCTTCCAGTCATGCTGGAAGACCTAGACATTCCTAGAGATATTTTCTCAGATTTTAAAAAATAGGCATTTCTTTATTTGTGTGCATGTGTGTTTTCGTTTTTTTGTTTTTTGAGGTTCCTGTACCACTAACGCAATGAATATGGATAGTGACTGTATTCCTTTTTTCCTGGCAAAGCCTAAACAATCTTCAGTCCATTGCACAGTTGCTGCTCCGTTATTGCCCACTTGTCCGCTTTTAAGAACCCAGCTCCAACAAAGAAGAGCATTTTGAATCCTTTCACCTGCTTGAGTCCAGCACAAACCATGCATTACTGTGTTCTTTTCATATTTTCTATCAGGACATCTTTGAAGATCTGAAGTTTAAGTGCATTGAGACACACAATGTTTTGGTTAGAGGGGTGGAGAGAGAGAGAAAATGAGTCTACACCATTTTGGAGGCATTGGTCGAAAAGTAGCCTTGAAATATTGAGATAGGTCCAAATTAACTATTTCATGAATGAAGGGCCCCAATATAGAATCATAGAGTTGGAAGAGACGACATGGGCCATCCAGTCCAACCCCCTGCAGGAAAAGCACAAAGTATCCCTCACAGATAGTCATCCAGCTTCCATTTATGAAGCAGAAACTACTGTCATGGAGGAAGGGGCAGAAAAGTAGCCAGTGCTGGTTCCCTATTTCCCCCTGAATTCTTGAAGAAGGCTTTCCAAACATTCAGAGCAGCTCTGGGAGAGTCTATAGAAAGGAGAGAAGGACTCAGTCTTCCCTTCCACTTCTTTTAATATGAGGAAAACTCCACTACAGACTTCTCTGAATAGGTTCATTCATCATTATATTGAGCTTCCTTTATCAATGTAACAAAAAACTATTACTGAAATAATGGTGGTGTAGTGGTTTGAATGGCATTTACCTGAACTTACCATGGAAAAAGGAAATTATGGGTAATGGTGTAACATATTGATGAATGACTTCTCTCACACAGCTGAAATGAATGACTTACCATAGAGAAGTGTCCTTCTAGGTATTTGCTAGGTTTTCTGGTAGAAGCATAACACAGAATCACTTGGGGGAACTAGAAAATTCCTAGGGAGGACATAGAATCACAGAGTTGGAAGAGACCTTGTGGGCCATCCAGTTCAACCCCCTGCCAAGGAGGAAAATCACATTCAAAGCGCCCCTGACAGATGGCCATCCAGCATCTGCTTCAAAGCCTCCAGGGAAGGAGCCTCCACCACAGTCCAGGGCAGAGAGTTTCACTGCTGAACAGCTCTCAGTTAGGAAGTTCTTCCTAATTTCAGGTGGAATTTCCTTCCCTGTAGTTCGAAGCCACTGTTCTGCGTCCTAGTCTCCAGGGCAGCAAAAAAAAAAAACAAGCTTTCTCCCTCCTCCCTATAATTTCCCCTCACATATTTATACATTTTACTTATTTATTTCAAACATTTGTACCCCATCCTTCTCAACCTCCCAGGGGTGGGTGGTGTGGACTCAGGGTGGCTTACAACCAGCAACAATTTGATGCCCACACATACAAACAACACAGTATAACAAAACTAAATATTAGTTAAAACATTAAGTTAAAAATATCCATTTAAAACATTATTACCAACAATACAGCCACATCCAAATCTGATTCAGCATCCAGAGACCCAGTCCAAAGCCTGTCCATTGTCAGTTTCCAGTCCAAAGCCCATTTCATGTCAGTTATGGTCATCATGTCTCCTTCTCTACCTACGTCATATTTTATCAGGTGTAGGTAAATGAGCATATAATATGAAAAGCGGAGGGGGGAGGTCATCCTATATGTTCAAACCTAATTCTGAGGCCCCATCTACACTGACCATTTAATGCATTTGGAAATTAACTTCAAACTACAGGGGCCAAATAACAAATACTCACAAATGTGTATGAAAGGAAGTCCTTAGTACACATCAGTGCTCTGTGGTTAGCGTGATTCACTATTCGGGCCTCACACTAGTTTCAGGATTTCTTATACTGTATAATCACTTGCACAGTGAAACCACTTTCTTCTATACTGGTGTGACACGCCATTAAATGGTCAGAGTCAATGGGGCCACACATGCAAAATAAAAGTGTGCGAATAGTACATATCAAAGAATGATTTTCAAATGCAGCAATCATATTATTTTTAAAGGGAATCTTAATTTTGCTGTTCTCATCCTTTTATTAGAAGCAAAATACAAAACAGATCAAAACCAATCAGGTCCTCCTCCTCCTCCTCCTCCTCCTACCACTTCCTGCAACACAGCTGGTAGGAGGAGGAGGAGGAGGAGGGCGCAGGAGCCCGAGCCGGATGGCGCGCGGGGCTAACAGCAGGAGCGGAGGCCGGTTGTAAAGGTGAGCGGAGCGCGCGCGCGCCATCCGGCTCGGGCTCCTGCGCCCCCCTCCTCCTCCTCCTCCTCCTAGCACTTCCTGCAACACAGCTGGGAGGAGGAGGAGGAGGAGGAGGGCGCAGGAGCCCGAGCCGGATGGCGCGCGGAGGCCGGTTGTGTGAGTTTACTTTTCAGGGCTGTATGTATGACCAATCCAGAAGCATTCTCTCCTGACATTTTGCCCACATCTATGGCAGGCATCCTCAGAGGTCTGTTGTTTACATATGGGGGATCTACTTGAATGCTTTAACAAGTTAGGCAAAGTTGTGCACTTTCCCTTTTTGGTATTTGCGTAAAACTTGGCTGATAAAACCACCTCCAGAGGGATATTTGTCACCACATTCCAGCCACATTGTCACCTCCTGGTCGACAAAAAAGATCTCTAATGGGGTTAAAACAGACTGGTATGGCAACTAGGCCTGTTTGATCAAGAAAAAATTTCGATATTTAAAATACTAGGCAAATGGAGTTTAAAAAATGTTTTGTAAATATTTACGAAATTTCGTAAATAACAAAACATTTTTTGGAAAGTTTTGTAAATATTTTAAATATCGAAACAAAAAAACACCCCAATTACAAAACGATTTTAGAAACAAATTTTTTCTTGATCAAACAGGCCTAATATATATATATATATATGGCTTGTTGATATATATATTATATATATATAAAAAAAGAACCCATTCCAAATTGAGGTATCACCTTTGCATTATACTAGACATTTTGTTGAATGTGGTGGATTACTCCAAGATAAAGTCCTAAATATTAAAAATAATTATGTAAAAGGGCATCACATTTGAGGAAAAATGGCACATTATAGAGCGATTCACAATCCTTTATTTTTGGTTACAAAAAGTTTATATCCAATTGAGCCCACCTCTGGTAGGGCAGAATCTCTCTCCAATCTTGTGTGATCCCGATCCACTCAAGATAATTCAGAAACCATTTGAAGCATAATGGCAGGGAAACGAGGGAGCAGGAGAGATGAGAAAATCTGCTTGGGAATCCAACGGTTGTGCGTTTTTGTCCTTTCCTGAAGAGTACGAACTCGCAGCCTTCATAATATGCATTTTAAATGTACCAAGAAAGCTGGAGGAAAAGAAGTTGACTTCCCCCACCCATACTGCTCCCTATATAATTCAACCACTTCCATCCTTACATACTTGTGAATAAGATTTCATTTCCATGTTCAATCAAGAGGTGGCAGAAGACAGATACTTGATCGGTACATTCAAAAGTAAAGATGTAGAAAACTTGGGAGACAAACCGAATAAGACATGGAATCAATTATACCAAACTCAGATTGGATACAACCCCTGTTGCCTGGACTGAAACCTGGTAGCCCTTACTCACACTATATCCTAAAATTAAAACTAAATGTAGTACAGGACAATAAGGAGGAAACAGGTTGAAACAAAATTAAGTTTAATATAGTTTCTATTGAAACCAATATGGAAGTTACTGAAGATCAACTCCCATTGATACATATATGGGGGTTATGTTAATTTATGTTATAGTCCTTTACACAATTACCTAGGGCCCTTCCACACAGCCATATAAGCCAGAATATCAAGGCAGATAATCCACAATATCTGCTTTGAATTGAGTTATCTGAGTCCACACTGCCATATAATCCAGTTCAATGTGGATTTTATACAGTTGTGTGGAAGGGGCCTTAGATATACGTCAACTGAACACAACAGGACTTAATTCAGAGTAGACATAGAACTGTATTGCTAAGCTTGCATGCAGCCCAATATGTCAAAATCTGGAGTGGACACAGTCCCAGAATTAGGACATTAATTGTCACCTTTCTGTGACCATTGCAGAAGTATCCCTCCCCGTGGCAGAGAACATCAATTTGGCACAGGAAACAGATCTGTCCCCATTACAGAAGAGAGAAGGAAGCAAAGCCAAGAGTAACCACTGCACTGGTCACAGAAAGGATCTAGATTTCCTCTTCTTGTATAAAGCAGGTCCAGCTGATTTGTCAACGCTTTTGCTCTAAAACACAAAACTAAAAAAACATTTAAAAAAAGGTTTTCCTCCTTGAAAAACAACTCGGAATCACAAGAAGACAAAAACAGAAAAAAATGGTTAAGGCTCCATTGCTCTTTTCCTTTTTTAAAAAAGAGTCTACTATTATTATGTTTGTAAAAGCCAGGATTCCCGATAAATAGGATCACTCGAGAAAAATACCACTAACATAACAAAACAGTCACCACAACTCTATTTGAAAAAAAAGTAATTGTCTATTGTGATGTAAAGATCTCAATAAACCTCTGGAATTTGTTTTTAAAATATGCTAAAACAAACAGTGAAAATGCACTTTCGCTCTGTCTCGTTTTCTGTACAAACTCTGTTAAAAGTGAAAGATTGGTACCTTTTACATCAAAGGGTTAAGAGAGTTCAAAACTGAAGTTGGAAACCCTCCAGCTCAGCTGGATATTTACATGAATGCACACCCACTCCACCCTGCTAGAAGGCACCAATCTCAGTCCCCCAAGGTCTGTAGGGTTTGCCAAGGCTGGCTGGCTGCACTGACGTCGATGGACTGAGAGCATTAGGAGACAGGAGATGGAAGGAACTGAAAGAAAAAGGAAATGCAGACAAAGAAGCCATGGAAGATAGCAAAGGAGGAGAGAGTTTGGTAGCAGAAGTGACCATGGGAAGCACCGGCCCAATGCTGCCATTAGGGGGCGCTCTCAGCGAAGGTGACTCAGCATGTGGAGCAGAGCTTCTGGTGGGGTGGTGGCCTTCTGGAGAAGAGGCAGATCCATTTGTGGCCGTATGCCCGTTCTGAGGCAGGAGCAACGAGTGGGAGATGTGGGGGTGATGTCCAAAGGCACTGCCCCATGGGATCTGTCCAAGCGCTGGGTGTGTGTTGCTTGCTGCTTCCCGCTGGGAGGCATAATTATTCAAGTGAGACACAAGGCGGACGCGGAGAGGATCAGCAGTGTCCAGGCCCTCAATTATGCTCAGATAGCGGGCTACTTCAGCCAAGCACTCTCGAAAACCTAGACTCCGGTAGTCCATAGCAAGAGCATGAGCATCAAAATAGCCTAGGAGAAAAAGAACAAGAGAAGGAGGGTGTCAAGATGGGTACTTAATTCCTATTGTTATCTCTTGACCATCTTCCTCTGTTGGGTAGCTATAACTCTCCCCATCTGACGAGTCAACAGTGAGAATCATCTGTTTGGATCTTTTGAGATCCAAAGTCATTCAGAGGAATTGCCAGGGAGGGCATAACAAGGGTGAACAGGGTCAAAGAAGGTTGTATCATATTTATTTATTTATTTAGTACATTTCTATACTGCCCCTCTCAGCCTTCCGGCATCTCGAGGCGGTTTACAAGMCAAGAATTCAATGCCGTCAAAGACACAATTACAATATATAATTAATACTCTGGTTTCTCTTCAGATCGTATATATAATTAAAAAAACATCAGCAATGATAAAATCAAACATTATAATGAAACATACTTCAATCYATAATCATTAAAACAATGTCCAGTTCCGCCATATAGTTATTCCATTATTGCATCCATTACTCCATATTTTCAAATGCCCGCTCAAATAGTCATGTCTTAAGATTCTTCTGGAATGARAGGAGTGAGGAAGCTGATCTAATCTCCCTAGGAAGGGCATTCCATAGCCGAGGGGCCACCATTGAGAAGGCCCTGTCTCTCGTRCCCACCAACTGTACTTGTGATGATGGAGGGACCGAGAGCAGGGCCTCTCCAGATGATCTTAAAGWCCTTGCAGCTCTTGTGCTCTCTTTCTCTCTCTTTCAACTCTATGATTTTAAGTGTTCCAATTTCTACCCAGAAACTGCACCCAAATCCAACAAAGGAAGCAAATCAATGAACTTCCCCCCATTTATACCATTTGGTTTTTACAGAAGGTAACAGCGCTCCATGAAGTCATGCTAGCCACATGATCTTGGAGGTGTCTACGGACAACGCCGGCTCTTTGGCTTAGAAATGGAGATGGACACCAACTCCCAGAGTCAGACACTTAATGTCAAATGGAGGTTGATCATAGCATTGTGCCTGAAGACCTAAGTATTTACTCAGGTGAAAAAAGGTTTTCTTGTATCTGTGGGTTTTCTTCTTTCAAAGAAGTATTTTACCCTTATCACCCATGAAAGTGGAGGGCTTACTCTTGTTCTTTCACCATGAAGTACCAGTAACAACAGCTCACACACAGCAATTCTAGTTTTCATTCCTCTTCACTGACCAATAGTGAGCATTCTAGTTAACAATGACTGCTATCTCCAATGTCTGAGAAGTAGTGAATCTATAATGGTTTTCCATCCTATCTTTAATGGAATTGTAAACAGCTTTCATGGTTTCCTCCTTTCTGTTGGAATTGTCCACATGTCAGACTACACAGAGAAGCCATTGAAATCCACAAGCACTGTGGATTTCAAAATCAGAACAGTAAATAAAGAACAACACTCAGAAAACAGGGGAATTCCACACAAGAATCTATCAGGGTCAGCTAACACCTCCCAATAAAGGATCCCCAGGCAGCAGGCAGGCAGGCCTTGAAGCTGCAAGGCCATTACATGCTAATCAAGGTGGCCAATTGCAACATTCACATTTGCCTCAAACAGACAAGAGTTCTTTCTCCCACCTTGGACATTCCACAGATATATTAACCCCACTTGCCTAGATTCCAACAGACCTCTCAACCTCTGAGGATACCTGCATATGTGTGGGGAAAACATCAGGAGATAATGCTTCTGCAACATGGCCATACAGCCTGGAAAACTCACAGTAACCCTTTAATGTAATTATCCAAGGTGCTGAACATTAGCTCCAAAATAGATTTAGCTCTTCTGAAGTTGAAATGGAAAGTGAACATGGACTCACTGTCCCAATGGCATGGGGCCACATACTGCATGTTCACTGGGCATGTGCACTCTATGTTACATTTCACTGATCACCCTTTAGGAAGTGGGCACATGCCCGTGTCTGTTGCTACCTCCTCCTTCTGCAAGATAACTATTATAAAAATCCACATTCCAAAAACAAAAAAGCCAAAAAAGTCAACGTGCAGAACTAAGTGCCATACCAAATAGGAAACATTACCTTTCCCTCCTGCTGTGTGTAACATTTTTAGATGATCCACAGTCATCTGCAAGATTTCAGCCTTCTCCAGTTTAGCTGACCCCTAAGAATGGAGAGATAAACATGAGTGCAAAAACAGCCAAAAAGAAAAAGTGGGAAGGGAAGGAGGTAACCCAGTATAGGTAGTCGCTAAGTTGCAAACAAGATAAGTTCTGTAGGCCTGTTCTTAAGTTGAATTTGTTTTTAAGTCAGAACATGTATATTTCTTACATGTACCAGACAAAAAAACATATACCATATATACTCTAGTATAAGTCATGTTTTCCAGCCCTTTTTTAGGCTGAAAAAGCCCCCTTTAGTCAAAGTTGTTTATTATTTTACTTTGTTGTTGTTGTTGTTATTCATTTATTATTTTACACTATTATTATTATTATTATTATTATTATTACATGTACTATTTTTCTCTATTTTTGTTATTACATTTATTATTTTATTATTATTATTATTATTGCATTTCCATTATTTTACTCTATTTATTATTATTACATTTATTATTTTACTGTTATTATTGCAATTCCATTATTTTACTCTCTTTGTTATTATTGGAAGGCTATGTAAGCACATTTACATTAAAGAAGTTTAGAATAATGGTTTAATCAGAGTTGGACAGTCTTATCTTAAATTACAGTTTTACACCAATGTTCAAAAACATTTAACCTACTGCTGCCTCAATTAATGTAATTTTATTGATATTTTTATTTTTATTTTGAAATTAACCAGTAGCAGCTTAACCAGTAGAAATTAACCATTGGCTTATATTTGAGTCAATACATTTTCCAAGTTTTTTGTGGTACAATTAGGTGCTTTGGCTTATATTCGGGTTGGCTTATACTCGAGTATATACGGTATATTAGCTCTGCATAGCACAGGGAAGAGTTAACACCCCCGTGGTGTTTGTTTTGCTGCCTACTCAGAAGATTTCCACTGCAACTCCCACCACTTTTCCCCTGTGACAATTGGATTGTGGAAAATTTGGTTGTTGGGATTTATAGTTCACCTACAATCAAAGAGCATTCTGAACCCCACCAAAGATAGAACTGGGCCAAACTTCCCACACAGAACCCCCATGACCAACAGAAAATACTGTGTTTTCTAATGGTCTTTGGTGACCCTTCTGACACCTTCCTTGCAACCCTCCCCCCAGGGTCCCGACCCCCAGGTTGAAAAATGCTGATCTACTTCCTTTAACCCCCCTAGAAAAAAATTACCTGCTTTTCAAATGCACTCGGCACTAGCCTCCTCAGCTCAGACAAGCTGTTGTTTATTCGATCCCTGCGCCGCTTCTCAATAATCTAGAAGGAAAAGAGGATGTTTGACTTCCCTCCCAAGGAAAACATTTTCCAAAGAGGAAAGGTTCAGCAGAACAGAACTGTGACTTACTCCTCGGCGCCTTTTCCTAGCCAGGATCTGAGAAGTGGTGGTCGGAGACATCGAGCCGGGAGCTGAGCTTAAGTTCCTGAAATTGGCAAAAAAGGGGGAGGAAAGGGTCAATGCAGAAGCTAACAGAAGAGGCAGAAAAGGAAAAGTGAAGAGAGGGGGCCCAGGAAGACAGTTCCATCTTGTCCCCTGTGTTATGCTAATAATATATTACAATATAATATAATATACTGTATATACATATAATATTTATAATATTATAATCTAATACAATATAATGCTACTATTAATAATATGATATTATAATTATATATTTTATATCATATGTAATATTACTAATATTACAGTACAATATCATAATATATAATACTAATAATGTAATATATTGTATGTGTGTGTATATATGTGTGTGTGTGCATGTGTATCTTGTAAGCCACTCTGAGTCCCCTTCGGGGTGAGAAGGGCAGCATATAAATGTTGTAAATAAATAAATAAAAGATGTCTATGGAAGAGGGCCAAGGAAATATTGAGAGTGGGTTGCTCTCGGGCCATATGGCCACGTTCCAGAAGCATTCTCTCCTGACATTTCTCCTGCATCCTCAGAGGCTGTGAGAGTCTTCTGTTATCAGATGAAGGCAGGATCACAAATGCAGCATAGGGAACAGCTCCTGAAATGCTTTATTCGTGGCCAGGAAACAGCATCATTTTCCCCACTGGCATCTATACTTACTACCTCTGAAAGGCCATAAAATTCTGCATCTTAGACTATAACTCAGGCATGGGTCAATTTTGGCCCTCCAGGTGTTTTGGACTCCAACTCCCACCATTCCTAACAGCCCCAGGCCCCTTCCTGAGGCTGAGGCTGTTAGGAATGGTGGGAGTTTGAGCCCAAAACACCTGGAATGGTGGGAGTTAGAGTCCAAAACACCTTGACTGTTGGGAGTTGGGGTCCAAAACACCTGGGATGGTGGGAGTTGGAGTCCAAAACACCTAAAATGGTGGGAGTTGGAGTCCAAAACACCWGGAATGGTAGGAGTTGGAGTCCAAAATACCTAAAATGGTGGGAGTTYGAGTCCAAAACACCTGGAATAGTGGGAGTTGGAGTTCAAAACACCTGGAATGGTGGGAGTTGGAGTCCAAAACACCAGGAATGGTAGGAGTTGGGGTCCAAAACACCTGGAGGGCCCAAATTGGCCCATGCCTTGGACTAGAACTGTTTTGGAGTCTAAATCCTTCTGCACTGCCTGTATTTGTAAATACCCACATGAGGAGAGTCTACTGCATTCCCACGCGGGGGATTTCGGATTTCGGGGCTCACCCATTCTCGTCGGCGCTCTCCTTCTCCACCTCGATGGGCTCGTCGAGCTCCTCGCTGTCGGACGAGCTGTAATCCGGGTGGGTCCGCTTCATGCTCACGGGTCTCGGGGCCACGATCCGGAGCAACACGGGGAAGCCGCTGGGAGTGGCCGGGACGCGGATGGGGAGCGGGTGGGTGCCGGGGCCCCTGCTCTTCCTCTTGCCTCTCGCCTCGGGCGCCCACTCGCCGTCGCCTCTTACCCGGAGGAGGAGCGGGCGAAGAGGCGCGCCAGGCGCTCCCGTCCACGGAGGACTTCGCATAGCCATTTGCAGTCCCAAGCTCCGTGGTTGGCTAAGCCCCCTCCGCCGAGGACCAATCGCCGCCCGAACCGAGGAAAAGGGGAGGAGTCTTCCAGCCCCCGCCGCTCCCGATTGGCTCCGACGCGCCTGGGGGAGGCCTCCTGAACGTTCGAAGCGGTGGGGCCGCTCTCCCACGGCGCCTCGGCTGGGCGAAGGGCCAAGTGAGGAGCGGGGAGCGGCGCACGCGTGGCCCAGCGGCCGTGGGAAAGTCGCTCTGTGCCCGGCCGGCGGCCAAGGAGGGAAGGAGGCGGCGGCGCTGCTGCGCGGGGTGTGCGGGAGCGGCGTCAGCCGCGTGTGAACCTCCCCTGGGCGCCGGGCGGAGCGGGGAAAGGCGGCTCTGGGCTGGTCTCGACGGCCGCACAAAGAGCCGCGGCTCCGGATTGCGGCGGGGAGACAAAGGAAGGAGCCCCTGGCGCCTTCAGCTCTCTCCCTGATGCATCCAGATAAGGAGCCCCTTCGTTGCCGGTAGGACTGCTGACCGAAAGGTCGGCGGTTCGAATACGGGGGCGGTGGTGAGCTCCCGTCTGTCAGCTCCAGCTCCCCATGCGGGGACATGAGAGAAGGCTCCCACAAGCATGGTAAAACATCTGGGTGTCCTAGGCAACATCCTTGCAGACATGAGAGAAGCCTCCCACAGCAAAACATCCAGGTCATAGGTTGGAATCCGAGGAAAGTACATGAGCTCCCTCTGTCAGCTCCAGCTCCCCATGTGGGGACATAAGATAAGCCTCCTACAAGGATGGTAAAACATCAAAGCATCCAGGCATCCCCTGGGCAACATCCTTGCAGATGGCCAATTCTCTCACATCAGAAGCAACTTGCAGTTTCTCAAGTCACTTCTGACATGAAAAAAAATATCAAGCAACCATGAATCCAGTCATTGTAGCAACCAAGAACACGTGTACATGTATTCCACCGGTATCTCACAAAGGGAGGGGAGATTTCTGTAGTTTCTCCATCTGCACTGACCATTTAATGCAGTTTCAAACCGGCAAAGGAGGAAATAGTTGCAATGTGCAAATGATTACATAGGACATCCTGTAGCCGCTTATGAACCTCAAGAGTGCTGATGCGCATTAAAGACTTTTGTGGGAATGTGTTGTCTGGCCACAGGTCAGTGTAGCACCTGGGAGCACCTGTGGCCAGACAACACATTCCCATTCCCAGTAACTTTCAAGTCCTAAATGGTGTTCTGCAAGATTTTCACAATAGAACAGCCTTAGGATGCACCTCTACACTGTAGAGTTAATGCTGTTTGATACCATTTAAAGTACCACATTTCGATGCTATGGGATTCTAGGAGTTATACTTTGGTGAGGCAGCAACACCTTCCGGAAAGACTTTTGAAGACCTGGATGTTCCAATGTGCCTTTGAGTAATGAATCTCAACCTTTGAGGTAAAACATCAAAACATCTGGGCATCCCTTGGGCAACATCCTTGCAGACAGCCAATTCTCTCACTCCAGACTTACTTACTTACTTACTTACTTAGGCGATCCCTCGTTGGACGAGTAAGATGGTCTTCCATTATGGATTTCCTTGTGGGTCCGTATGTGGCTGTGGAGCCCTATTCTTGCTCTGCATCTTCTCCGTAGTGGGGCATTGGTTTCCAGGTGGAAGGCGGTCTCGGTCGGGGTTGGCTTGATGTGCCTTCCTCTTGGCACTTTTCTCTCTTTTACCCTCCATTCGTGCCTCTTCAAATTCTGCAGCACTGCTGGTCACAGCTGACCTCCAGCTGGAGCGCTCAAGGCCAGGGCTTCCCAGTTCTCAGTGTCTATGAGTAGTTCGGCAGCTGTATCTGCGACTGAGCAGTCCTTTTGAGGACCCACTCTGCTCACCCCACACGGGGAGGGGGCTAGAAAAGGTGCCCTAAACATAGTCTGCCTCTCTTATCCCTGACTGGACTGCCGCGTCCAGTGGGGTCAAAAAAGAAATATGAACTTTGGTACATGGAATGTACGGACACTGATGGACAACAGTGACAGCGACACCCCGAACGCAGAACTGCCATCATTGCAAGGGAGCTGGGACGCTTTAACATCGACATAGCAGCCCTTCAGGAGACCCGGAGAGCAGGAGAGGGACAGCTGAAGGAAGAAAAAGGAGGCTACACCTTCTTCTGGAAGGGACTGCCTGAAGAAGACCAAAGAATACACGGAGTTGGCTTTGGTATCAAAAATGATCTGGTGAAGCATCTGACCGAAGCACCCACTGGCATCAATGAACGACTCTCAACCCTCCGAATTGAACTTGCCAAAAACCAACGGGAGCCATCATAAGTGCCTATGCACCAACACTAGATGCTGATGAAGATATCAAGGAAAATGTTTACTGTCAGCTGGACACCGTCCTATCGGGGATACCTAAGGAGGACAAAATCATCCTCCTGGGGGACTTTAATGCAAGAGTCGGGCGAGACTTCGACCTGTGGCCAGGGACCATAGGAAAAGACGGGGTTGGAAACAGCAACTCAAATGGCATCCTGCTTCTCACCAAATGTGCGGAACACAACCTTGTCATCACCAACACGCTCTTCCGCCAGAAAAACAAGTTCAAGACATCATGGAAGCACCCCCGGTCAAAGCATTGGCACCTCTTAGACTACGTAATCACACGGGCCAGAGACCGCCGTGATGTGCTTCTCACAAGAGCCATGACAGGTGCTGACGACTGCTGGACAGACCACAGGCTAATCCGATCCACGATGGCTATCAAGATCGCCCCCAAGCGCAGACTCCAAGGAAGAAAGACAAGGCGCAAAATGAACACCCAAGCCCTTCAGGAGCCCTCCAGACGAGCCCATCTCCAAACAGCACTCAAGGACCATCTACCCACAGAACACCCCGAAAATGTTGAGGAACATTGGAACAAACTGAAGACCTCCATCATCCAAGCCTGCGAAGAAACTATTGGATACCAAACCAAGAAACATCAAGACTGGTTTGATGAAAATGACATCGAGATCCAACAGCTAATTGACAAGAAAAGGAAAGCCTTCCAAGCATGGCAGAGAGACATCAACTGTGCTGCTAAGAAAAAGATCTACGCCAGTGCAAAAGCTGAGGTCCAAAGAAGGACAAGAGAACTCAAGAACATCTGGTGGACAAAGAAGGCTGAAGAAATCCAACACCTGGCAGATACCCATGATGCTCAGGGATTCTTCAAAGCCACAAAGGTCATCTATGGACCAAGAAACCATGGGATACAGCCTCTCACTCCAGAAGTGACCCGCAGTTTCTCAAGTCACTCCTGACACAAACAAAAAGGAGAGAACGCTTCTGGAACATGGCCATACAGCCCAGAAAACTCACAGCAACCCATTGATTCCAGCCATGAAAACCTTCAACAACACAAATTATACGTTTGTTCCTTTTGGTTTGGTTTTTTAGTCCAGCAATTTCCTCGGCCTTGTAATACTATCCCTGCCGGCTTTTAGGTTTTGCTGGCAAGAATGGCAGCTGATCGCTTCCATGCCCAAGGGATGGTGAACTTGCTTTGAGTTTTAGTTTGAACCTTAAATGAACTTTCCAAGATACAAAAACTATTTGTGCATGCATACGCCACAGTCTGGAATATATTTACCATTCCGTGGGCTTAGAAGTTACCAGCCGCACTGATAGTCATGCTTTGATGTTTTGTTTTGTTTTGTTTTTCATGTCAGGAGCGACTTGAGAAATTGCAAGTTGCTTCTGGTGTGAGAGAATTAGCCATCTGCAAAGACATTGTTTTGACATGATGCTGAGTTTCTAGAAATCCTTCTAAATGAGTTGGGCATGTATGGTTTTAACATCACCTCCAGCCCATCTGGATCTCCAGATTTGGAGACACAAACAGCTCCAGCCAGGCAATGCCAGGGATCATCAGGGTAGTCCTTTCTTTAAACCTGGAAAGTTACAGGTCCCCCAAACCCTCATATCTAGATGGGAACTGCAATTATCAGTTTAAATGTACACATCTGGTTTCTGTGCTTTGTGCTCTACTTGACCTTAGGGGACCTTTGAGATTCTTTTAGACTCTTTTTAAGCAGTTCAAAAGGAATTCGTTGGGACAACTAACATGCAGGCATGCTGTTTAAGTACTTGCAGATGAATCACACGGGATACTGAATGGAAGGATTACCTGGGACCTTTAGGTAAGCACAAGGACAGAGGAAGCTCCCTTAAAGGGCATGATTGTTCATTTTAACACCTGACACGCATACACCCCTTCCATGGTCAGAAATACTTCTTTATTTCCAAAGGTGAAAGCAACTGGGAAGAGTTTTCTTTCTTTAAAAGGGGGGGGGGGCAAAAGTAACCAAAGACCAGGGTTTGAATCCCCTTCCCCACTTGGCCATGGAAACTTATTGGGTGACCTTCACCAAGTCACATACTCTAAGCCTCAGAAGAAGGCACAATAAACCCTCTCTGAACAAATTTTGCCAAGGAAACCCATGAAAGGATCATTTTAGGGTCACTAGAAGTTGGAAACAACTTGAGGACACACAGCAACAAAATAGAAGGCACTGCAATGGCATGCCTGCACAATTCCCTTCAGAAAACGCAGGAATCCAAATGAACAAAGGGAGTATTCAAGGATATGGCACAGGCATGGGTAAGTTTCAGCTCTACAGGTGTTTTGGACTTCAACTCCCACCATTCCTAATAGCCTCAGCAGGCCCGTAGCCAGGATTTTGATTCAGGGGGTGCTGAGTTTGATTGGGGGGGGGGGGGCTGAGTTTGGTTCAGGAGGGGCTGAGGATCTACCCTAGCAAACCTTTTGTATCGTTATCCCAATAGCCCCATGCATACGGGATATATTGAGCATGGTGATCAGGTCATGATATGAATAAACATAACAGTTTAAATAATGTACTGGTAAGGCCTTCTCGCGGACCACCCTGAGAATTTCAGGGGGAAGCTGAAGCCCCCCCCCCCCCCCCCCCCCCCAGCTACATGCCTGAGCCTCAGGCCTCTTCCTTTTCCTCCTTAACCACT